TTTTGAAGATCCTAAGCTGGAGACATTCACAATTCTTCCCTCCCTTTCTACCATTAATCCTTCATGTTTTAACAAGCACTGAAGTTAATACAGCCTACACTCTTTCCTGTCACACTGGGCCCCTCTCCCTCCTTTCTTTCCCTTGAATAAAGCAATCTGTTCTTTCCAGTCCATACTCTTGTAAATCAAAGGGATAGATGTCAACACACACCATAACCAAGTATAAACTTCCTTTTTTTTAATTAAACAGGATTGTGACATTTGGTTTCAAGAAGTGTTTCTTTGGTTTTATTTATTTATTTTTTTAATATGTGAGGGATGTCAACTGCTTTTATTTTATTTTCAGTAGAAGCTGAATTTTGAATGGTACCATAGATAATCTCTTGCACAAAATCTTTCAGATGATATTTTGTGGTTCAATAGGAAATAATAGGAAAATAATACAGAATGTCTTGTAGTTTAGGAGCTTTACGGTTTAGGGCTAATATTTTTGCTGTAGGTTTCCATACACGGAAATCATCTTCTAGGTACTATTTCAGACTTAATTGTGAAAAACAGTATTTTTGTTGTTACACTCTCTGCCATTTATTTACTATCTCATAACTACTAATTATACTTAGACATTTGTTTGAAACAGAAATATCCAGAATTATATCTGCTAACACTAACAACAAACAAGACGCTTGGAAGGAATGTAGTATCTACTCTCAGTGTACAAATCCACATATCTTAGCAGCCAGGGCAAAGTCAACAAGTGGAACCAGTGTTCTGATCTGATACCCCTGCTTTTCCATGCTGATTCTCAGCCATTAATCTGACAAGAATAAAGGACTTTATTTAGTATCTCAGTTCTCTTTCACATGTATTTGCTCAGCTAGAAAATATACACAGGAGTTTCCTGAGTGCCTGCTGCAGTATAACAGTATTTTGGAGGCTAGAAATGCCTGTGAACTCCTCCGATCACTTCTTCCCACTGACAGAGTATTGTTTGGAGATCCATCTGGTGTCAAGTGCAGGCATATGGCACCAGTATGGCAATGCTGCCTACGGGGGTGGTTTCCTGCAGAAGAGGTCTCGCTGTTGTTGGCTATTTAAAGTCATTATTGTTTAGCACCCAGGTCTTTGTGAACTTGTTCAACTGGTGGCTGGGCAGAGAGCCATCTGAATCTACGGACATGAGCACAGACAGCTGAGTCTCTGGGGCCTTGCACACATCAGATGTGGGTACTGAGGTCAGGCTTCTCAGTAAGGAAAATCTAAATGAGTGTCTGTCCTAAGCTTGTGTATCTGTGGTTGAAGGGATATGCCATCATTAATTCAAATCTGGGCTGGATTAAGCTTCTAAAATAAAAAACAGCTCTGCCAACCACTTGAAGAGGGCTTGGGGCCTGTTTAAATTGAGTGAATTGGCACGGAGGGAGGGGATGATGGCGGCTGAACAAAGCCACTACCCTGTCCCCTCTACAGCACTTCTTTCCACATGGGGCAAGACAGCCATGAGCACAGGTCACCGGAACTGCAGGCATCTTGAAGGACTGGACAACATTTATTTTTCTCTTTGCCAAGACAAGAGCAGAGCCGTGTTTTCTTTGTTTCCGAAATTACGGCTTCAAACCTCAGTGTGATTCACAGCACAGAGAATTTGGAAAAATGCAGGTGACCAATGCTTATCTCCTAAAGGTGCTGACAACTTGCACACACACGTGTTCTGTGGTGCCTGGGAAAAGATGACACTGTTTGCCCCCTATTCTACACTGTAGTACAAAACTCACCAGGAAATTTCCTTCTGACATAAAATTTGTCTATGCACTGTGGCCACATACTGTGAAATTACCTGCTTCTGTCCTCTGTGCATACAGCATAAAGCAGGTAAAATATAGCCAATGGAAAGACTGGGAGACTTTACCATCATTACTGGAAAGGGCTGTGAGATTTCCCTATAAAGATGTAGGAGAAGCACAAAGAAAGATATGCAGTTGTTTTAAAACCCACCTATGTGCTGGTTCCTGCCCCTTTGAAGTCAGTGGCAAAACTCTTATTTTCAGCAATCAAGGCTACTTGAATTTGCAACCAAGATTCAGCCCAGAGGCAGAAGAGGCTTATGGGGAATGGTTTCTGTTGCTCTCCTTGAGCACAACGCTGTTCAGACAGACTGGAGACCTGTCCGCTGCTTTTTCCCATTAAGGCTAAGAAATTAATGCTTTTAAAGTTCTTAAATGAATGGGCTGGATCTTACAGCCCTTACTCATCCGAGTACTGACATTAAGAAAATAATCACTTTATTAAGTGCTGTGGAGTGGAGTCCTGAAATTGTTAAATTCTAATATTTTACAGAAGTTCTTCCTCAGTAGAAAAATAATATTGACATAATTAAAAGAATGTGAATATTTCATCAGTTGAAGAATGCAAGTTACTTTGGAATGACACGTAAAACTTGGAGCAGTGCAGAGGGCCCACGTCCATGTCATGTCTGTAGGTTATTTTTGAACTTTATGAAAAACACACTTCAGCAGTTTATATCCTGACCATTCAGCTGTATTCTGGGATTCTGAACTCAAAAACATTCTAACCATGAAAACATGGCATTTAAAAATACTGTTCACTTGGCTTCTTCGCCCTGCTTCAGAGTCTCCCAGGTTTGTTTCAGACAAACTGAGAACTTTGTTGTGGATTGACTGTTTGAATTGGGGTTTCTTAAAATACATGTGGAGCCTTGTAGCTGCTGTGGGGTGTACACAGCGGTGTAGCAGTACTATTTTAAAGTCATCTGGGTATTTGACTTCATGTAAGAATATCTGTCAGCTTAGTTATAAGGAGTGAGCAGGGTTGATTAAATCAACTCATGAAGCCTTTAAACAAAGAGATAAAACGTAGAACATGTGCTGCAGGGTCATTTTAATTATAATGTATGGGGGATCTGTGGAAACCGGATGGCAGCTGCATTGTAGCTGAGTTTTAAATCCCTCTTAGCAGTACCAAAGCACTCAAAGGTGTTTTTTTCTTATCTATAACATACATCTTTTGGAAATAATACTTGGGAACTAGCATTCTTATGACCATAGCGTTATTACTGTCCTTAAGTGCTTAGATAGGTAAGGACTGAAATAAACAATTATGTCTGGTCACTAGATATTAGATTATATAACATCACATAAATGTATGAAGAGCTTTAGTAGAGAAAGGGAACAGAGATGCTAAATGAATACCCCTGAAAATTCAGAGAGAATAGGAAAGAAAAAGGTAGTAGCAACTTCTTTCATCATCCTCTCAATTTTATTATTTTTGGCCTTATTGGGTCAAAAATACAGGGTTGAATATATTGCTGTATGATGTAAGTATTTCTACTAGGTTATTTTAGCAAAAAATCTGGCTTGAAACAACGGATATCAGCCAGCCACATGAATTCAGTAACAGCTATTTAAACAGCATATTTTCCTTTATTCCTATTAACCTAGTTACAAACATCAAGAGTTGGCATAATTAATTCCAATCCTATTGGAAAGGTTATAAAATCTGCAGTGTATGAGCTGAAACCAGTCTCTAGCTGCTAGAAATCATGACAAGGCATAGTAAGGCAAAATGACCACACATCTGCCCACGTCAAAGTTTTTATAACTCCAGCCACCCCTGCCAGAGACAGAGTCCTCAGCTAGGTCTAGTTCAGTTTGGCAGCTCCTGCATTCTCAGTTCAACAAAGTTTACTTAAATGCCTGCAATGTTTTTTTAATGCAGCTGAACTATATTGATATTGGTAACCCTTTGTCACTGAATTCAATGGATTCACGTATAGGCATATCACCATTTCAAAAGGTCTAGTCATTAAACTACAACAAAGGTTGTTACCAAAACTGGTTGGAAATGATTGGAAAATGAGATTTTAAGAATGTGCCCCTTAACAGCAAAGTTAATTTTCTGCAATTGCAATAGAAGTTAAAATCTTGCTCTGTGGTTTGTAAGCATCGCTAAAACTGCCATGGAAAAATGACATTTGCTTCTGTTTGCAAACTGCCTTTATTAGTATGTGAATTCTCAAGAAATCATGCAAATACTGTAACTTCTGCTTTCCAGTTTGCATGAAACAGAGAAAACATCCAGGATCAATTACATAAAAATGGGAAATAATTTCTTGAAAAGAGAACGGAGGACCTGAAGGAGTTACAGATTGTTGCTCTTGGCTGTAGCTCATTGGTAATTAAAGGTTCTGGAGATTGTTCCCTTGAGAACTTCAGTAGTTGTATTTTATTTTAAGGAGACTTGAAGGAGGCAATTGAGGTAGATGCTCATCTCCATGCTGGCCTGTGGAGTACTCTCCCAGATGGCCAAGACAAGTGTTACACCAGTCTGGCTCCTCAGCATCCCCAGTTTAAAGAAAATGTACAAACACAACCCAGCTGTCATCTCAAAGATGAAGAACTGCTTCTGCTCAAACTGTGTAAAGCAAAGTGTGAGTCCCTCTGCTATCAGAAGAAGACCTTTCTGTGGCAGGGAAGTCAGTCATTGATCCAAGAAGACACTGCTCATCAGGCAATGTTCTTGCAGCAGCACACTTTTTATGGTAAACTTTGTATGGCCTCTCACAAACTCATCTGAAATTATCCAAGAGTTAAATGTTAGAAGAGCAATATGGGAAGCAGTATCCCTGCTGAGAAGTAATGGGCCAGGAGCCTCTGTTGGATTGACAACTGTTTGCTTGAAGTCCTTGTTTTTGAAAAGGAAATGTAGCACTTTCACATCATTGTCATGGAGAGGTTCTTAGCATCGTTCTAAGATTTACCTTATGGTTTGTATTTTCCTTAGGACCAACAGAATTATTCATTTTAGGATCAGAATCAGCTCCTTGCATGTGTTCTGTTGGCTTTAGCAGAAGTACTGATGTTCAGGGAATGTGAATAAGGGTCATGCACTGATTCTAAAATTCAAAATACTAATTGCAGCAGGAGGAAAACTGAACATGACTCGTGAAAATAACCTCTCACTCTTCTCTATCTGTTTTACTCCAGTCCTCTGTGATGTCTGTCTGTTTTGCCCGCTTTCACCCAAACCTGGTTGTTGGTGGAACATACTCTGGCCAAATTGTCTTGTGGGATAATCGCAGCCACAGACGAACTCCTGTTCAAAGAACTCCCTTATCTGCTGCTGCTCACACGGTAAGGACAAAAATCACTTCTTCGTTTTCCTTAGAAAAAATAGCAGAGAAATGAAGCTGTCTGGTTGTGTCTGCAGTGCTGGTTGCTACACAGATAAAATATAAGTGTGGCCCTTGAAAAGAAAGAAGTGGATGACAGAGGTGTACAACCACCTCCTGTGTTAAGCCATTCCACTTGATGTGGGCAGGTCAGGTGATTGTGCTCTTTATGATGAAGACAGGAGCAGTTAAAACACTCAAATGAGGCCCCTATGTGATTCTTGCTCTCGGTTGCCTGTACGAGAGTCAGGTTACTGTAGGGACTATGTGTCTGCCAGTCAAACATGCAGGCAATTTAAATCATTTATTGTTGACTGCTTGTGCAAGAGTTTGTCTCTTGAAACAGATTAAGCACCTGCAATGATCTAACAGAGTTCTGATAAATAGATGCTTGTGCTTTTAAAAGTGTGGGGCAACTGCTTCTGTTTTACAACAGAGAAATATTTAAATCCCTTTTCTGGCCTCCTATTCCAGACAAGACCATAGAGCAGAGCTTGTAGACTGAGGAGGAGTTTGTTTCAACAGGATGCTATGCAAAATGCATTTCAATGACACACAAAGATATCTGCAGATATAATGATTGCACAGGGCTCTGGTGATGTCTAGGAGATAAATAGGCAGAACAGTACAAAATATTTGAAAAGGAAGAGAGTTTCTCCATAGTCTAAGGATTATGTCTGTGGTAGAAGATGTTCTTATATTGCAAAGTACCCATATTGTGCTAGAGGAAGAGACGAGCCTGGACTGCTTACAATCTGTAATAGGGCTGACCTTCACTCCACCCTGCTCTGAGATGCTGAGCATCCTTGAGCTCTCCTCCTGGAGAGTTTAGGGTCAGATAGCCTCTTCATATGAGCTGGAAGTTTTACTCTGTGGGTAGTAAGGGTAATTCATCTTGGGACTGAGTTTGGGGCCGTTCCTGAGTGGGAAGTGGAAAACAGACACTTAAAAGAGGAGAAAGATGTAATAAAATCAGAGTACAGAAAAATTTGCAAGATTTCCTGAAACATAAGAAACTGAACTACACAAAGCAGTCCAAAAGATACTAATCTTGTTCTAGCAAAAAGAGGGATCAGAAAACATGATTGGCCATTTGCACCTCCACCATCTACAGTTCTGTGATTCTTATCTTTGGAATTTACAGATCAAGATTCAGCTTTTATTTGACTGTGACAACATAATCCCTGGAGTTAAAAGACAATGTCTAAAGGCCATGTCATATGAATTAAAGATTCAGCACAGGGACAGTATTATGAAGGCACGTCTCTCATATTAAGAAATGACAGGTGTGCACAGACATGCTTAGTGGGCCAGGCAGTACAAATATTGTTCCTTAAATTTCCACTATCATGAATGTTGATGTAATAATTTAATGATCTGTGCCATGGGTTGCAACTTCAATATTGCTTTTCATTTCCCTAATGTTTTTGCTCATTTTATCACCAGTAGTGGTGTTCAATTTGCATGAAAGGGAACAGTCTCTCCTGGAAGTGCAATTTAGAGATGTAGTAGACCAGAAAACTAATGGCAAGAAACTGACTATCACTGAAAATTGAACAACTGGGACTCAAAATCTAGTGGAAAAGAAAAGATTAATGGGAAGTAATTTGTTTACATTCAAAAATGTCTAAGACAAAATTGTACCTCCTGGAAACATATATTAAAATTGTTTTATTATATAGAACAATATATGAAGTTTTGCTTCTGACAAATAAAAATAAATGACTTTTTGTTGTGGATGTGCACTTTATGTGCTTTTGCAGATTGGTATAAATAAGTGGTTATACAGTCTAGCATGAGGAAGCATTATGTTTTTAAGGAATTATCAGATTTTACGATAAAAGAGTACTTAATTTTTGTTCATATTTATGAATCACTTACCTAAACTGTAAATGAAGTCTTGGCTGCAAGAGTCTGGCTTGAAAGGTTTAACTCAACTCTAGTGTGGCAGTATTATTTTGTGCACTGCTAGCTAAGTGAGTTAAATAGTCAGTTTTAATTTGAACTTGTGCAATATGTGGGGAAAAAAAAAGGATTTTTTTCTTTTTGTTCCCTCACTTTGCTTATTTGAAACAAAGAAAGTATGTTGTCATCACCAACTTAAACCTTTCTTAAGTTTAGTCTCACTGATTGCTGCTTGGATTCACCAGGAAGGAGAGTTCTACCCGCAGCTTATTCACTAATTTCCTTTCACACCCACCACACATCTGCACTTGGGACAACAGGAAATTTTAATTAGGACAAAACCCTTTTGCATGATGATTTCATTTCCAAAATAAATAAAAGCAAGCTGGCAGCAACTCTTTGAAAGAAAGGAGTCTGTATAGACTTTCTGTTGTGTATAGTTGGTTGTCTTTTCCATCCATTTTCCTTAGGTCTTTTCATTTCTGCTGTGAGTTTTATTATGCATGAAATTGATGGTTGGCAACCCTGATTAAAGCCAGATCTGGCACACGGAGGTGCTGCTGGAAGGACATGGTTGCCTATCTCCCTTCCCCTAAATATTGTAGCTACTCCACTGGCTACATTAGCCCCCTGCCACCTCTGTCCTCATCCCTTTGGCCTCCTGGAGGTCAAACACCCATTAAAAAGTAGGACTGTGTTTATTTTGCACGTCTTTATGTGCTAATCATATTTAGCAATGTGGTAATTAGCTCACCACTGGGGAGCATGAAGGTCCATTGCAAGAGGGTAATAGCATGAGAAACATGCTAGGGATAGACTGGGGTCCTGCACATTGTCTGATGTCCGTTTGATGATTCGGGGGGGAAACAGCTCCTGTGACAGTCTTGAGAGAGAGAAAAATCAGCATCACAGCAGACCTTGCAATTTAGGGCTCTCTGATGTGTACAGGTGGCCTGTAAGCAAAAAAGCACCATTTTGGGAGCAGTTTCTAATGAGTTCATCTTTGGTGCTGTGTGCACGCACTATATATTCAAATTCCACCTTGTTTGCAATTACAGCTGGGGCATTTACTGGGCCTGCTGTGCTATCAAACCTCAGAGTTAGCCAGTGCTAGCTCTGCCTTTCATTGCTCACTACATAGGTGAAACTGCAGCTGGATCATTGAGGAATCTAAACTGCCAGTTCTGTCATTCATTTCAGTAGGAGAAAATGCTAGGTTCTAACCCTATGTGGAGTTGGATTAGAAGCTGTAAGGCTTCTCTTCTAAGCTTTGTCCTGATTTTCATCGAATAAGGAAATTATTTGTGAAAAGTAATTTTTCTTCTTAGAGACACAAGTTTCGTCTATGCAACAGGCAGGGAATTACAGTCTGTCTTTGGTTGACTTGTGTGTATGTCTTACTCTAATTAAGCAGTATCACTTGCAGTGGTAAAGAAAATTAAATCTCATTGCTCGGTCTGATTGATTATTCTCTGTGGAGATTGCTGAACTTGAGCCATCCCTCATATGTCACCATCACATATCAGATGACACTTCAGGCTGAAAACATTAGCAGGTTTCTTGGAAAATGAACAGATTGAATTTCACTACTGTATGCTAAGAGGAATTCAGCCTTCATGGACTGACCATGCCATGAGGAACTAGGTGTAACACCCTAAATTTAGTCACTCCACAATTATAATGACAAATCTAAAAAGGTGTATTAGCCAATAATGGAGAACAATGACGGACTAGTTTTCATTTTTATGTTGAAGTACATTTGCAAATATTTAGCATGCAAGCCAGATTCTGGAAGAGTTCAAGTTTTACACAGCTGTTTTCTTCAATAAAGTTTTCATTTTGATTCCATTTGGATGATTTGCCTCTTTCTGCCAGTTATTTTCAGTGCTGAAAGCCATCAGTAGAATGATACATGTCCCTGTGGGTGAAATCTCATCCACATAATTCAGTATTTTCACAGCATTACCCAGCTGAGTTGTTTTATGATGAGGAAAATGAAGCATTGAAAACACTTCCATGTCCATAACACGATGCTTAGAATTGAAATTTAAAAAAAAAAAGTTAAAGTCCTATATGGCAAAAGCTTGGTCCTGTATTTTCCAGACATTACATGACTACTTAATCATTCTTTACAGTAAGATACGAGATATTAGAAACGTGTTTTGAATATGTGAGAATGTCTCTCTGACTTCCAGTGTTAATGTGTTTCCAGCATCCGGTGTATTGTGTCAATGTAGTTGGAACACAGAATGCACACAATCTCATCACTGTCTCCACAGATGGCAAAATGTGCTCCTGGAGCCTCGACATGCTCTCAACTCCACAGGTGGGTTTGTTTTCACCCATACAGGAGAAAATCACCTTCAGTACAGGAGGATACCTGCTTAATGGAACATAGCTCCTAAAAGCCAAAACCTCACATCTTATACAAACTAAAACCAGTGGATGCGCTTGAAAGAATACAGCTTGCTTCCAGCAGTCTCTGCTAAAAGCCAAAACCCATTTCCTTTACCACAAATCATATAATTATTATAATACGTTAATACATAGGTCAGTTTCAAGTGAAAATGAAATAATCCATTTTAAAGCATGGTAATTACAGAAGTTGCCTGTGGTATAAATTGTACTTACTCTACTGTGTTGTTTAACAAATATGGACTAGATTGCACTGCTGCTGAACACACCCTAGGCACTATGGGTTTCCAAGGCACAAAGTCTGAAAGCTTATTTTGTTGCCTGCTTTCAGTATTTAAAAGAAAAAAAAAAACAACAATGCGAATCAAAAGTTTTAGAGCCAACTCCCCCTCCCTCTGGAATGTTTGTTGCTATTGTTTTCCCTTCTCCCCCTCCTACCCCCTCTTTGTATCAGAAATGAAAGGAAGTCCAGGGAAATTGTCCAAACCACTTGTGATTATAATAATGGAAACTAAACAAAGATTCTGGTGCTGAAGAGGCCCTATGGAAAGTGTTATCTTTCAGAGGAGTAGTACATTTGTACATTTTCTGTTCCAGCATATCACTGTTTTTTATAAATATCATAGGATCTGATCTTATTTGAAAATGCTGAGTAGGAACTCCTTTTAATGATTCCATTAATCATCCATTAATTATGCATTAATGTGCAATTACTCTTGAGTTATTTGCTTTTCAGTGTTGACACAAGACGTGGGACTCCTCCTTAGCCATCTAAAGGTCCATGTCAAGTGCAAGCTATTCATTTGGGTTCCTTTTACAATTAATGTAGAGAGAGACCAGCACTTCTAGAGGACAACTCATCCCATCCCAGTGTGAAATATCACTTTAGATATTCTAGGGTACGGAACTGTACTTACATCTAAGGATGTAAGTTGCATCTGGACCTCATCCCATCTAATCTGCTATCTAGAGTGAAGCCAACTTCCAAGTTTGATCATGTTCCTCGTGCTCCTCATAGACATTATTGGTCTGGTATTTATGTCCTGGGACTATGAAAAACTGCTGCAGTTCTGGAAAAGAAGAGGCATCTAAAATGCTGCAGACATCTGTGTTTAGAAACTTGAATCCTTTGCCCCATTTCTCACTTAAATGTAGAGAAGAGAAATCCTTGTATGATTACATACTAGAATACTGAATTTTCAGGCAGAGGTTTGTGAACATTTTAGTTTCAGAACTTCATCATTCAGATGGAATTTCCCAGATTCAAATCTAGCTTTCAGCAAGGATGGGAACACATTCCATGTTACACTAAAATTCGGTGCATGGCTCACAGTGATCTTGAAAAGAAGGACTTAATCTCAAGCTGCACACCTTAGCTTTACATTGAGAGGAGCAGTGTTGCTGATTTGCATTGGTTTGAAACTTTCCAAAGAGATAGATCCAGAGCACTCATGTACAGCCATGGTGTAGGCTCTGGAGGAGATTCCACCGCAATATCTCGCCATACCTAAAGGCACTAAACAATGATCTTACCCCAGAAGATTTTGTAGAAATATATGGTCCGCAGGTGCTCTGCCAATGCATTTTCCAGGTCTTGTTTTTCCCTTTTAATAGAAGCAAATATATGTGGAAGTAAAATATAAATCAAGCAAATGTATTTCTCTATGGATTTGCAGCCCTCTCCTCCCATAAGGACGCCCACTTTCTTCAGCTACAGCAAAAATCCCTCCTGATGAAAATGCTGTAATCTTTAGCTCTAGAAGAATAGCTGTTTAGGCATTTAAATGTAGAAAGCACACACACTTATACAGATGAAAATGAAAATTACTAAATCATTCAGGCCCTTTGTGGGTTTCTTGGGTTACACCATTTAGGCTGCACAACCAAAAAGTTTAGAGTTGTGCAAGATTTGCTCAAAGCATACGCATCTTGCAGACACCGCAAACTGCTCATGCTGGTTGTATTTGAAATATACAAAAATGAGTATGTTAATTTACTTTGAAATATGGCTAGAAAATGAAATTATGCTTGCAGGTTTGTAGCTTGATGGTGGGATCCAGAGAAAATATTTATGATTAGCTTAGAAAATCTCTCAAGAACACTGTTTTAGAATAGCAGTAGTGACATGACGCTGACTTCTGAATTTTGTTCTGCAGAGGGACAAATGTCACGGTCTGATAAATGCCTCAGGTGCATGAGATATTACATGTGTTTCCTGACAAACAACTGATTTTTAAAAATGTTTGTAAGTAGAAGGGTATTTTTTATTAGAGCCTGGGGCTGGCAAGTATAGCCATTAAGGTATTATCTTTAGTTTCTGCACCATTAGATTTTAAATTCTCACCTGTCATCTCTGCCTGATTTAAGATGATGTTCCAGATACCAGTGCCTTGCAGCCGCTCTGAAACATCTGACACAGCATCAGGGATGGCAGGAGCAGTGCATCCTGGTTGTGACACTGCATCTTCTTCCATTGTCCATCACAAAACCCTAAATTCTATGACTGAATCAGATGATTCCTTCTTCCTTTCTTAGTACTCTGTGTAACATTTAGAAATGAATTAGTGAAAAACAAAACAAAACAAAACAAAAAAACCAAGCCAAACAAAAGAACTGCTGCAGAGTAATAACAGAGACTTGTTTTGATAGGAGAGCATGGAGTTGGTGTACAACAAGTCCAAACCAGTGGCAGTTACAGGAATGGCTTTCCCAACAGGAGATGTCAATAACTTTGTTGTTGGCAGTGAAGAGGGAACAGTCTACACAGCCTGTCGTCATGGAAGGTGATTTTAAGCTTTTTGTACTTCTGTAACGTTGTCTGTGCTGGCATGAGGTAGCCATGTGTGTGGAGTGTGTTTAGTTTTTTTCTCTTGGATGAGCAGGATCTGTGCTGGGACAGGACTAGGATGGGAGCTGCCCAGCTTCATGCGTCTGTGTTACTGCCATGCACTTTGTGCTTGGCCCACTTCCCTGTGTAGTCTGTGGGGAGCACTAACTGCTGGAAGGGTTGACTTCTTTTGCCTTTTTCAGACATCTGCTTGAAAAAGAGATGACTGGCACGTTGGAAATGCCTCTTTCTCAGCCATGATTATAACGGAAGCCTATAGAGTGCTGACTGAGGTGTAGATGCGTCAAGGCAGGTTGTATCAGGCCCTAGGAGACAGTTTTGTTGCAGGGTAATCAAACTTAAACCACTTGTAAGAAATGGTAGTCTCCTTTATTTTTTACCATTTTCAGCTTCATCTTCAATCTCCACAGGCAGATAGCAAAGAAAAGAGAGACGCCACAGATATGTCTGTGTGTGAGAAGGAGAGCGTACGAAGCCCCGATGCATGAGCTTGTCTGACTTGCCCAGGCAGGCCATGAGTACAAGACCTGATAAAATGACCTGGGAAAACCTTAGTTGGACAAATACTTAGAAGTAGCATTTGGAAGGATAGTTGAAATACTGTTTTTCCAAGCATAAGATGCACCTCCTAATGACAAGGGTCTGAGCGCTATGTGGCTAAACACTGATCTTTCCACTTCTAAAGCTAGGAAAATGCAAATTCACTTCCATAATTTAAACAAGTTTCATATTTTGCACCCTCTAAACTTTCTAAGGCTGCAGTTAAGAGCAAGAAACTCTCACCGCAGGCCTCTGCAGAGATCAATTCCTTGTGTTTGCTACAGTAATCTGCAGGGTGCTTGTGTGCTCCCAGCTTCTGGTAGCAGTTTCATCCTCAGGGATGCCTGAGTGGCTTCTGTGAAGAGCAGGCTATTTCAGTGATAGATCTAAAGCTGACCTCCCACTTCAGTAGTCTTCAGATTCATGTTATCACGGGCCGTGTTTCAGGGACAAAATAGACATTGACAATGGTTTAACAGTGGTTTAAGATTGTAAGGCTTCTATTACACATTCTTAATATTGTACAGTCACAGTTAATATTGTACAGTCACAGTTTTACATATATTTTCTTCAAAATGATTTTTATTTAAAATATTTTTTTTAAAATAACTTTACTCTGCTGACAGCATTGCAATACTATTTAGGCATTATGCTGGTAGGCTGTGTGATGGCTGCTGGTCTGAATTAGTTTTTGGCTGCTGGGATAAATGGAGCATGCCCAAGGGCATTTCTCACTTCTGATATTTCAAATGTGCCTGGTTTGTTCCTCACAAAAGAAAGACAACTGATTTGGCATCATTTGCTTACAGGATGAGCAAAGCTGCCCATTTTCTTTCTTATCCAGATTTGTAGTTTTCCTTCTTATTCTAGCCTCACTCTGATGAAATGCACATCTTCCCATGTTCAGAATAATGACTGCAATACCTGCTCGTATGAGCAGTCCCTTCACCTTTTGTGAAAAAGGATTTGCTTCCTTAGGGACATGACTGACTGCTGTGCAAAGTTATTTTAAATATTTGAGAGAAAAAGAATTGCAAATGATATGTCATTAGCAACTTTGCATTTTCATTTTAATGGTTATTCCTCGTAATAATAGTGTACTCAGATGTATAAGATGTAGTATAATTATAATTTCTAATTACTTTATAATTATACATACGTGTTATTTCAAGCTATAGTAGTAGACAGTGTATGTAGAAGTCAGTAATGCAGGTCTTCAGAAGGAAGAGGAGCTGTCTCCCTGTGCTGGATCCTGAGCACTAAGTGTGCCCACAGCAGTGAGCTGCTGCAGGCAAAGGCCTTGCTGAAGGGAGAGAACTTTGCAGGTTAAATGGAGCTTTAGAAGGAAACAGAATTCTAAGAGTAAAAGAAAATGATGTTAAAACACACATGTTAACCCACATTCTGAATGTAAATGTCCCCTCTTCCTGCAGTAAAGCCGGCATTGGTGAAATTTTTGAAGGCCATCAAGGACCTGTCACAGGAATCAATTGCCACATGGCAGTGGGCTCAATTGACTTTTCCCATCTCTTTGTCACATCATCATTTGACTGGACAGTGAAGCTGTGGACCACAAAGGTGAGAAAATCGAGCTGGGACGTGATGGGTTATGCTACTTGTGAAAATGCTATTGTCAGAAATGTTTCACTTGGAACTGATTCACTGAAAGTCTGTGCTTAGAAAAAGTGTAGCATTAAAATTGTAAGTGAAATGCATACCCAGTGTAATTATGTCAGCCATCTTTGTCATGGAGCCTACACTATAAAGGTAGTTTCAGCTGGCTTGCTCTTCAGTATTAACCCCAGTGTTGAGCAGTTTCACTGAGAAGGGAGAATAGGATGTATTGTAGTAGCAGTCATCAAACAATTCATCTAGCACTCCTTGTGCAGGCTGAATTGCAAGACTAATACTGTGCTCCATGACAGCACAACAGCAGGAACACTTTCTTCTGATGAAGCAACAGGGAGGCACATGTACGACAGTGCAATCAATATCCTTCAAGAAAATCATTGCTGTAGGAGGCTGGGGTAGCCAGAAAGTATAACTCATCTCTGTGACATTAGACACCAATGGCTGGGAGCAGAGAGGAAATACATGCTGGTACATTCATGACTTTTGTGAATCTCTTGCTGACTGCTCTGTGGATGCGTCTGTGTCACCCCTTACCTGGACAGCGCTGTGAACAACGGAAATGAGTGCAGAGGCTTGGGGGGCTTTGAATTCTCACACCTGTCTAAGTATGTGTAAATATAGGCTAATGACAGAGTGACTAAAAAGCTGCAGGACAGTTTAAACAGACCAACCTCATTGTGCAGGCTGAGTGGAATAAGATAAGTAAAATATCTAACATTTAAGTCATGTAAACAGTTATTTTTGTCATACATCAGAACAGAGAACTGCATTTCAAACACTGGGCTTCTGTCTTCATTATTTCTTTATGTCTGCATTTGGTTCACATCTTGAGCTGTATCCAACAGAGCTCCAGTGCTGGAAATTGACCCCAATCAGGAAATATCTCTGTGTGTGTTCCTCAAAGGCATCAGGGCTTCGAGATGCTGTGACAGATGCACAGCAAATGTAAACACAAAAGTGATCAGAAGGAATCATGTGGCTGCCTTGTTCTGAAAACAGAAGCATGGTTACCTAGATAATAACTTAAATCAGCCTCTGTGGTAGCTTCATAATGCATTTGTTAATAGCTTGATGTAATATGTATGCTAATTAATAGGTATGTTTGCATGATGAGCAATGACCACAGCTGACAGTTTTGTTTGAGCATTACAGGTTTTGAGCATTGCGTACTTGGTAGGAGGAGGGTACGTGATTTACCTGATTCTCACCAGAAATAGCAGTGAATCCAGCCTTAACCGATGCAAAAGTGATAGAGGAGGCTGGTTGTGGGCAGGCTGGAATGAATCTGGGGTCAATCCTTGGTAGTAAATATTAGAGAGGGCTGCAGGATAACCCAGTGACAGAGAGCTAGCTCAGGCTGATGAGTCTGAGATGAGGGTGTGCTGTGCAGTGGCACTGGTGGCAAGAGAGTATCAGATGGCTGAAGCTGAAGTTAAGTAAGAGGAAAAGAATTTGTGGGTACTGGGTAGAAAATGAAATGTAGGTACTGAAATACCTACATTCCAAATATATATGTCCAGAAAAGTTTGGCATAAGTATCTGACCCTCAGCTTGAGGCTGAATATTTCTTTAAGGGTCTCATCCTTCTGCAGCGTAAAGGAAATTATATTAAGGAATGAGAAGGCATGGTTTTTTATTTTGAGTGCCTGGGTTTTTGGAAGTTCATGGCAACACTAACAACAGCATATTTTGGACACAAAGACACTGCAGTTAGCAGTACATAGTAATCCTTGTGGAATACTTCATTGCCAAAACGGTTAGGTCAGATGCTGTTCAATTCAGTCAGTTTTCAAAGAACCAAGCAATTTAAATTTTTAATACCTCATCTGGCAAGATGGACTTCCTGAGAAAGCTACTTGACCTAGCTGATGGGAGCAGGGATGTGCATGTGACACTCTGAGGCACAGCTATGAGCTGGAAACAGTATTGCTGTACTGGATCCATTGGTTTCTCCTGGAGCAGACCTGAGCAGCAGTAGCAACTCTAGGCTGCTGCACTGCTAGCCTCTGTGTTGTGCAGAACTACTCTGAGGTTCTGGACAAGTTCGTGAAATGCACTGTTTTCGTTTTCTTTCTATCTGTCTACTGCAGAAATTTCTTTCTGTATTATCTCTTGGCTGGAGTGAGTACATATTTTGGGCTCTCTTTGTTCCATTCCCATAGACAGGAGCCAGTCCATCACTAGATATTGAACAAAGCCCTCAACATTTTTGATTACCTGAAAAAAATAGCCTGTTAATATGAAAAGAAAAAAAAAAGAGTGATATGGCTGGTTTATGAGAGTTTACTCAGACTTCTTTATTATTATTATTATGCCTTTGATTTCTTGTTTGCAAATTTAATCCCTCTATCTGCATTCAAAGCTGTATCGCTTTCTGGCTCCTACCAGTGATGTCTACCGAATCCTGTGCACATTATCCTCTTTCATCGTGAAATTCAGTTCCTTTCTGTTTCACAGGTTCAGAGTCAATGTCCAATTGAAAAGTGAACCATAAAAGCTCTGTGTTTATATTGCTTTATATTGATGTGGTGTAGCACCCTGGGGTGCTTACAAGAGAGGCACTTTCATAGCAGGCATTTGACTGACAGATTGAAAGCCCTCCCTTAAAAACTCTGGATTGACATTTTATAATCTGTTTGTGCAGTTAACACATTTTCCATCCCAACACCGTTCAACCAGGTGACTGAGAGTAAGGTTTTCACTGAAGAATGAAGGTCTTGTAGATAACACTAATAAAAAGTTTCCATTATCACTCATCATATTAGCCAATAATTAGATCCTTGGGTGAATAGTAAGCAACCAGAAGCAGTATTAAAAACAGAAACGTAATTTGCAAATATAATCACTTGATAGCTGGGGCATTACCTGGTTCCTGATGAGGTCAATAGGACTTTCAGTTTTAATTCATGCTGCACTACATAAGCAAGTCTTGATGCAGAGCTGTCAAAGGAAAGTCCTGATGGGAAATGTCTGTGGAGCTCTGCCACTACAATGCTTTGAAGAGGTAAAGTGCTAAGTGGAAATGTTAAGTGTTGCTAATTAATTAAGCACTAATCCTCACGAACGAATAGCATGAGGTTAAATAATGAAATGTAAGTATTGTTATTATTACAGCAATTGCTGTGCAGAGTGGGAATTTTTAGATATTGTGTCAAGGGACAGGAGGTAGCTTGGAACTGTTAAAGCATAGCAAAACAAGAAGTTTCAGCTAATGTTTAGAAAATGGCACATTTGCTACTGAGAGAGTTAAATAACAGTCCAGTTAAAGAGATAGCTTGTGCTAATTTTTCCATCCTTCACATGTCTCTTTTATCCTTCCATTGATGGTAGATACTAATGACTGAGTTTTTCTCCTCTCACATCTAATATCTAAGCCATGCTCAGATGGACAGCTAACTGAAAGACAGGTTGGAATAACAGTAACAGTACTGCTGTATCCCCATCCAAGCTTCTCTCTTTCTTGCCTAGTATTAAGAAATGATGGTGAGTGCCATAAACAGGCAGATAGAGATGAGCAGACTGGTAATAGAACCACTGCATAACCACCAGCAAAGACTAGTTGAGTCAGAGGGCTTGTGTGCCTTCCTATAGACTATCTACTTTTGTGTCCCTTCTCAATTTTGCCTTACTGGCATGTGCATCAGTGGTAGCTCCCTTCCTAGTCCCTCCCCTTTGTCTTCTCATTCTTAAGTTCCTCTCTTATGGTATCCTCTGTCCCAGTCTGCAGTCTGTTGTGCTTTTTGAAAAACCATATTTTTGAGAAACAAAATTAATGTTTCTGGTCCATGTACTTTATGTAAATTTCTGTATCTTCACTAACTTTGCTGTTCGCTCATTGTGGTATGAATCAGTTCTCCTCACACTTGGAGTAAATGATTCTAACTTGTACTTTCATACCTTCCTACCAGCGTCAGGCTTCAAATACCATTGGTCTTAATTTGATTGTTTAACACCATCTCCTTGGAGATCAAGCAGAAACCTCTCACTAGAATATGAAGAAGCAAGTGTGGTGTTGTTGTGAAAGATAAGTAGGAATTTTAGGCCTCTCACTCCTAAACTTTCCCCCAAAAGCCTGGCTAATAGGAACTGTTGGGATCGGCTTGATAGAACTTACTGTGACAATCAGTAGTGCAGCAGAATGAATCAGCGCATAAAATGACTGTGTGGATTAGTCACTAAGAAAACAGTTCACTCACAAACAGGCAATTTTTGAGCTTTACGGGTCAAGTTGTCACTTTTTGAAGATTAAGAGTTACTATTTTTTGCTTTACAAATACCACATATCAAGATATCTGGATATCGGATCAGATATTTTCTAGTATACTTTCAATCACATTCAGTGTGCAAGTTTTGTGTTACAGATAGCACTGCCTGAAGTTAAAGATCCATGTAGAGATATCATCAAATACTATTCATGATAAAAGGACAGTAAACTTAGTGAACTATTGCAACAACTTGGTATATTCTTCCTCATGAAAACTGTTTTAACTGTAATTGGAAATGGTGGAATTAATGACTTGATACAGTCAAGTTCCATGGCAGGTGATTAGAATGGATCACTGATTAGAGGCACTAATGTCAGTGGTTAACAGTAAGGGTTATTTCCTCATCTTATGGAAGATGCTCCTCTTCCACTGAATGTGCAATTATTTACAAAGAGCTTCATGAGAATGTTCTGTAAGACCGTGGTTTGGCACCAAGCCATGCTGCAAAGGACTGCCTGAGTAAGGTTGAACATGTGCCTTCCCTAAGGGAAGGAAGTGCTGTGATGATCTTCCCATTTTGCTCAGAGCTGTATCTTGTGTCTACGAACAACTTCGGATTCATTGAAAGTAGGATCTTCTTGGACTAATGCTTTGATTTTAATGTGCTGACGCTTCCTGATGAAAACCAGTTCTGTTCAGTTGGGGCCAGCCCTGCTTCTTCAGTTTGTAACAGGAGCAGAC